TTTTCTGCCTGGGCCGCTCCATCTATTGGTGGGGAGCATCACCTGCTGGAAACCGGGTCCAGCATCCCTTAGATACATCTTTCAAAACAGTACATCATTGAAAGTGACGCCATTTTGCTGGAAACCGGGTCCAGCGTCCCATATGCACTTCTACTCTTCCAAGCAAAAACTGCAGCAGGGTCAGGAATGGAGCGGAGCACTGGGGGGCACCAGTGGGGTCCACCTCCATCTCCTGACCCCTGCCGTCCACCGGCTATGCTCAAGGCGCCTATTGTGTTAAGCTGAGAGTGAATTTAAACTGAATTTAGACTCAGTTCTCACAGCATTTTGTCTCAATTTAGCTAATCAGCCGTTCTGACTACAGCAAACATCCCCATCACTTCACAGGGAGACGCCCATCTGCTGATCCTGACTTTTTTGGCTCGATGGAAGGTGCCGCCCTTGTGCTGGAAACCGGGTCCAGCGTCCCATATCAAAAACCATAAAAACCATCACTACCTTGCCTATCTTGCAGCTGGGCCGAGGATTGGAGAGGGGCACTGGGGGGCACCAGTGAATTCTCCCTCCATGGAATGAGAATGCAGACTTTTTTTTTTTGCAGGGGCCTCAGACATAAATTGGGGCAACTGAGGAATATCATGGATAAAATCAACATAATCATCAACTCAATTCCTGCAGCATGGCTAGACATTCTGTCCCCTTCTGCAGTGGACCCCCCGGGCACATGGTTTGTAAGTACAGGCTCTGCATCCTCTTTGTTTTGGAAGCTGATTGACATCCAACATGATGGGAAATGTACCTTCCAACACTTAGGTTAGCAAGGCATGGATGACAGTACAGCACTCACCCAAGTGAATAATGCACAACACTCAGTTGGTGTGTCCTTCACTCAGGTATGTGTATTAATAGAATACAATGACTAATGCACAACACTCAGTTCAACTTGGTGTGTCCTTCACTCAGGTACGGAATACAATGACTTACAGGGCAAGATTCGATGTCAACTGTTTGCCAGGGGAAATCCAATCGGAATTCTGAAGCTTGACCCGTCCGCAAAGGAATGGAGAGAGAAAGGAAAAGAAGGGGAAAATCTTCGCTTCCTTGATTACACCCAGCAGGTACTAGACTGAAAATATGAACATCTCACTGGAAGACCCGCTGATTATCGCAAGAAGCAAATGGACCGCGCTGTTCCCAGTCTTGGATCCATTGCTGTTATAAAAAATGATTACAAACTGCTGGAAACATCTTAAACCACAAGTACACGGCCCCAGCCTCGCAGTCCGAAACTTGTCGCCACAAGAAAACGAGGCCGAAACATCAAACGCTGGGCCCGCCGTTGAATCAGATCAATTCTATCGGCGGTCGCATTTTCTTTTCGCGCCTCCAGAATTTGAGGTGTCAGGCCCACGGCTCCGGTTCCCATGTACTGGTACTTATAGCTAATTCCCAACCAGAGACAGGCGGCAATTTTATGGCTTACATCACTGGTGGCCACTCCTACCGCCATTCGGCTGGTACAACACCGGCTAAAGATCTATACTAAGTGCTCTAGATGTCTCTGGGCCTTTGAATCACTCTCAGACTGTCACATGTGCTGGGACTGCCCAGTTTGGAACAGAATCTGGGTATGGTGGAGTAGACATTGGGACAGAATCTCAGCTATGTCCTTCAAATGGGGCAAAAAATGAATACCTGGGTTTTTCTTGGTGGAATACCTGAGGCTCTCACACTTCGAATTGGCTGGGGATACATCGCCCAGTCCATCAGAGCTGTAATCTGTGCGGTAATTGGCGTGGTCGGAATGCCGCAGTCTTCAATGGCAAAGAGTGCTCCAACAAGAAGATCAGAAGTGAAATTTTTCAGGGGATCAGTAGATCCATACTTTTTTTTTTTTTTTTTTTTTTTTTGAAAGAAGGTTGAGGCCAGGGTCCTCACAGTCTACCCAGAGTGACCGAACTGAACAAGCTGAGAACCGGGCTCAGCGTCCCTCCTATGATGATGATGATGATGATGATGATGATGATGAACTCTAATGATTCTATGAAAAATGTGAGATAATGATACCAATGATGATGATGCTAATGATGATGACGTAATAAGTATGTAAAAGAAATCCAGAAGATTGGCCTTCTAATCCTAGAACAACCCCCGATTGGAGAAGGAAGGTCGTTAAACCGCAAGTACACGGCCCCAGCCCTGCAGAAAGTTTTTGTCGCCACAAGCAAAGCTCGGAGGGGCCACGCAATGTGGGGCACCGTTGAAAACAAAATTGGCGGCCTCCGAAGCGGTGTGGGTTTCGTGCTGACACCCGCGGGCCGATGTGTGGTGTTTTTTTTTTTTTTTTTTTTTTTTTTTTTAAGCCCGCCCCCACCAGTGCTAGTGGTGCTCATAAGAGCAGACACTGCTAGCACCTGGGGGGGGCTACTGGTGGGGAGCAGCACCTGCTGAAAACGGGTCCAGTGTCCCATTCATGGACAGAATTCAGAACATATCAGAAAAACAGAGATGCGGGAAATTCCTGCCAGCATTGATTACCCTGGGGTCCAGGGGATTGACTGAGCAGGATGTTGGGGGGGGAACCTCTTCACCCTGAACGTGGTGCCAGATACCTGCTGCTACACACTGGTTCCTCCCTCCCCTTACCTTTGAGAAACAACACCTCTATTGATGTTCTATTGATGCTGCTGGCCAACTCACACCGCTCCATACC